TGTGTGTGTGTGTGTGTGTTACTGAAACAAGGAAGAACCAAAATAAAGTTTGAGTCAGATGTTACATTTGGAACTTGATTGTTCACGAGCTGCTCGAGTTAGAGAACCACAGTTTAACATCTGGAGAGAGACGCTGTAGTTTAACATCATTATTTAAGAAACCTTGAACGTCCTCAAACCTCCAACACACTGAGACCTACACGTCCTTCACCAGAGCATACACAATACAACCTTGCTGTGTGGTTATGAAGCACTAACGGGTCTGCAGTGCCCCCCACAGATGAGGAGTCGTCACTGCAGTCTCGATGGTTAATGTAGTTCTATGTCAAGTAAATATCAAAACAAATACACCAACGTATTAATTATCACTAATATATATATAACTAATCCTATTATTCTAAAAAAAAATCAACATGAAGATAAAACATAACCTTCAAAACTATCAAATACAAGTTCTGTCTGAAATCAGACGTCAGAGCGGAGGATTGACTATGGAGGTGAGGAATCACCCTGTTCTCTCAGGTCAGACATGGATCTGCGAGCTGTTGCCCACGTTGTGCGTCCCGAGCAGAAAACTGTTTGGCTGCTGTCGTCATGACGAGCCTCAGACACACCCACCATCGAATATTAAAGCAACGCAAACGTAGAACTCATTTTAACAAATCATGTCAGAATAAAACTTCTGATTGATTTAACTGGAACAGTGAAATGAGCTCTTATGATTAACTCTTACAAGAACTTGAATAAATTCAGAGACGTGTCGGACAGTGAGACGAAACAGTGAAAGGTTCTTTTACCTCTGGGTTCTCACAGTATCTCCTGATCACCTGCCACAGCCAGCACGTAATGAGCATGTGCAGCAGCGAGCTCGCTACAAACGTGATGAAGCCGTTTTTATGAAGACCTGCAGAGAAACAGGACGAGCTCTGATGAGTCGATGATGAAAGATTATTCTTGCTGTGGAAACGAGGCATTTACCTCCTCTGATGTTTAAATCCTGGCTGGAGGACCGGCGGGTCAGTGGACCGTGTCGTACTCACTGTATGTTTCCGTGGACGACACGTATGTGAGCAGCAGCAGGCCCGTGTTCTCGGTGAGGCTGCAGAGGAGAGCAAGTCCGCTGAGCAGCAGCTCCAGCCACCTCTTGGCAAAGCGACTGCGGTAGAAGTTAAAATAGGCGACGGCCACCAGGTAACGTGGGGCAGAGTGGAGGCCGATGCAGCAGCGCCAGATGTAACGCTCCGGCATGCGGCTGATGGCGGCGCTGATGGACGGGAGGTAGTTCGGCACCTGGTTGGTGAAAAGAAAAACGTTTGTTTTAGCTTTTACTCAGAAATAAATAAATCTTTTCTTTGCTGAAAGCATCAAACGAGCTGAAGCTATATAATATAATTCAAATGTAAAAATGTAAAACTACAGAAGTGTATTGCATTCACTTG